TCAACACAAAGCGACCGAGCTAGCAGCTTTCGTCGAGCATCGACATGAAAACAAGGGACTTTTACTGTTGGACTATGTTCGGGATTGCAGGAGGTAAGTGTGAAAGATGAATAACTCTCCATGCTGTACGTGGGGCATATTTCAACGACTTGCTGCCATTGCAACACTCCTAGGACAGTTTGTGGGGGTTCTCAGCAGATCAAGCAGGAAATGCAGCTCATCTTACCTCTGCCATCATGGTCTGTTCCGAGTAGCATTCCAGACACGTTCGCGATTGATGGCCGCGTGTCGTGATTCAGGATCTAGGAAGCGTCATCCTGCTTCACAGAGCACGCGATCTCACCGTGCGTCTTGCAATAAAATTCAAAAACTGCGCTCAGGACTTCAGTCACTTTTGCATCAACAGTCGCACAAAAAATTATTGGTGGCGCAAGGAGAAGCTTGTCGTTTGGACTGACAAGTGATCACCGCTGCTTTTCCTTGTCAGAGTCAACAATACACTTTGTTCTGCGGCCTTGGGAGTAGTGTTGAAGTAGAAATTGCCGAGGAGACATCGCGGAGGGGCGAGCTTTCCTGCGCTGGTAAGACTTTGGCCGTATTTCAGCATGGTCTAGTGGAAAAATTCAAAAAAGTTTATTTCAAGAAAACCCCAAAAGGAAGGTGGGGAACATGTCCTCAGCGCTAGAAGAGGTGTTCTACTATCTGCCAGTGTATAGTTCTGGCCAATTGAGGACGTAGCTGGCTGTTTTGCCAGCGCTTGTAAATCGGCTATTATCAAGACGATCATTTGTGGCGTCAGGGGGTGATGAACCTCGTCTTCTGGGATCCTGGGCCGTGGCGTGGCTAAGCGGTACTGCTCCAGAAACTCTTCTAAGGTGAGGCACTGTTGGCTTGATGGAGTTTTGTTCATAGCTTGTTCGTATACGTTGTGGCGTGACTCGTTTGTAGACCCATAAATAATGTGATATTTTGGCCATTTTTGGGGGGTATGCAAATTTCAAGGTTCCCTTCAGAAACCTTTTCAAGTGCTTTTCACAATCGATCCACACCCCAAAGGGAACCTACCTGCAAATTTTGAGCGAAATCGGAGAGATCCACTTGCGCACATACTTTGGTATTCTCAGACATGCTCTCTTCAAAAGATGCTACACAGAGAGGTTGCATCTGTGGTCAGCGGTCCAGCTTCATCTGCTCAGCCTATCACTACGGGAGTACCTCAGGGAAGTATCCTCAGGCCGACTCTATTTCCTATCTATGTCAGCGACATCGACCAATGGCTTACCCCCCGGAACGCGCCTTAGCTGCTTTGTTGATGACACCACGCTATACAGCCTGTTGCAACCAGGAACTGCTGCTCCCCAAAATGCCTCCTTACAATATGCCCTTCATGGCCTTCAAGAGTGGGGTGAGCGGTGGCGGGTGACATTTGAGCCATCCAAGTCACAGCAGCTACTGTGCACACGATCCTTGGCCCCAGCCACTCCAGGCATCTCATTTGGTGGTGTCGACATTGCCCAGGCATCAACACTGAAGCTGTTGAGTATATTGTTCGACTCAAAGATCTCGTTTCGCCAGCACATCAGCAGCATGGCGGTGAGAGCAAGTCAACGTCTTGCGCTTTTGCGCCGAGCCGCCCGCATACTTGACACCAATGGCCGTCTGAGTGTCTAGGGCGGATTCATGCGCCCTATGCTGGAGTATGCTCCACTGGTATGGATGTCTGCTGCCCCGACCCATCTGGCCAGGCTCAACCGCATTCAGCGGAAGGCAATGGCCATCATAGAACCAGATGTGCTCCTCCAGAGTCTGGCTGCAGGACGCACTCTCTCTCTGGGCTGTGCTACATGTACAAGCTTCAGTGCATCGGAAGCCCACAACAGCTGACCAACATTGTCCCACCAGCTGCACCCACTGTGGTTCGTCCACGAACCCGACACACACATGCGGTGACCCATCCTCACCAGCTCCTCAGTACCCTACCACCAGCTGCACCGGAGTACATCAGTTTGTGGAATCAACTGCCACCATCCCTGTTCCAGCCACCAATGTCCCTGCAACGGCTGCACGGCTTCAAGGCAGCTGCATGGAAGCACTTGCTACATACTGACTGGCTGTGGGCTACAGAACACCTCTGAAAGCCACTGCTGCACACACATGGGACGAAGTTGCCAGCCACTCTGGTCTAGATTCACCCTGCCGTATCACTCGAGAGCTACCCACACATCTCTCAATCTCCCCTTTTTTCCACTATTATTATTCCCTTCTTGTTTTGTATAGCTATGAATAGGATGAAGTTTCTTTGGTTGTATCCTTAGTTCCGTATTTTTCCCACTGATGATAGGAACAAGAAAATCGATTATGGGTTTTCAATAATATTTTTGTTATAAAATACACAGTAAATACATGTCAAACAAGTAAAGTAGTTGCGTGATGTCTGCGGCCTTCATCCTACTCATAGCTATATTAAAATTATTATCTCCACGTAGATTATTCTTGTTTTGTGTTTTTTTTTATTTCCTTGTTTTTTGTCTTTAGTCACTTTCTTGTGTTGGCTCATTATAAACTCATGATTAATTTTGATGCATACATGGCACTGTGACGCCAAGACCCATGGTCGGCCGAGTCCATGTATTTCATCAGCACAGATATTAACTGGCATTGTGGATATCGCCTTCCCAGTCCAATGTACTTTTTTTCTTTCAACATGATCATAGCCAGCAATCGCATGTCATCTCGTACATTGAAAATCAACATAATTTTGCGAATCGACCTTTTTTTCAGGATCACTTTTCAACGAGGACGAAGCAAAGTCGGCCGAACGAAGCCTAGAGGAAGAAAATCACCCTCTCCACTTCACCATCACAATACTGACATAGATACGAGATGAAACAACTAAAAAATCCACAAGAAAACTGTGCGACCATCATCGCGCTGACTTTGGTCTGACTTTGGTCTGAGAAATTCTATCACGATCAAAAATGTACGAGGAGCACTCAAAAATCAGCCACAGACGTACCTTTATCGCTCTCTACTCCTTTTTCAAGGCACAACAGTCGACTCTCCACTTTCAAACCAGGAACCAGACATACCAGTGGTCCTTTTCAGCTGCTCCACGAGCGCAGGAAATGTTCACCAAGGGGCGCAGAGCAGCATCCATTCCAGAAAAAGAGCTAAAATACGAGTGAGACTGCATGCCTGAGTACATGAGTACATGTATGAGTACATGCAGAAAATAGTCAATTTCAGCGTTTCTGCTCCAAACAGCAACTAGCTTCGACTAGAAACAAAGAGTACACCAAAGGATCAAACAACAACCATTTTCTGCAGTTTTTTTTGCAGATGGCTTCCTTGTGCTTGGCCCAGCACGCCAAAAATCACACCTCGGAGGAGTACAAAAATTACAACTCTCAGATGTCCTCGATTGCTGGCCATGTGTAGATTTGTGTTCTCTTAAAAAATCTAGCTGAGCCGTAACTAGGGAGAGTTTGAAAGAAAGGTAGTCGATGTCCAGATGACCAGAGTGGTAACTGGGCACCGTCAAGAGCTGAAACCCTAATCCTTGGATGAAAAGTGTTACTTGCATGAGATACCCAGACGGCAGCGCACAGTAAACGGAGCAACAACTTCTTCCTGCATGTTCAGAACTGCATTACAGTGGCTAATGTAAAATCATGTATCCCTCTATAACTTTTAAATGTTCTGAAGTTTTAGTAAGCGCAGAACGAAGATGATATAGCCTTTAGATTACTATTTGAAGCCATGAGGCATTCGTCCATTGCGGATAATTCTCAAAAACAATGACAGATTCTGTTCGAAAAGCATTGACATTTCCAGAACCTTCAAACCTTATGGCACGCACTTCCTTTATTTCTGCTCCATTTCTTCATCAATATAACAAAAGGGGGGGGGGGGGTGTCAACATAACGAAACATTAATTAAACGAATCGTAAAGAAGACCGAGGATTTGTGTACCTTTTCTAACACCATGATCCGCCAAAGACTATGAATCCCTGGGGAAGTCCCAGTTTAGGTATACTGTCATATTCAGTTCTCACGCAATTTGTAACAATTCAAGCCAGTATATTGTTCATTCTTCGGCGGCCAATTATTTGTCTGCATTGTCAAACAATGCATAGTTAGAAATTGTGTTTTCTTAGCTTTGCAACAAACCTCTTGCTTGACAACAGAAGACAAATGACGGAGACTATATTAACAGTGGTGTATGTGAACTGTGTCTCTGCAGTGTCAAACAATGTATCGTTAGAAAGTTTGTTTTCTTAGCTTTACTACAAACCTCTTGCTTGACAATAGAAGAACAAAAGGGCTGTAACAATTATACCGATAACTCGCATATCGATCGTTAAGAGTGCAATCGATAATCGCTAGTGTTAAAAACGAGTGCTAACGATTTTTTATACATGCATGTCAGTGATAACATTCTAGGCCTTGCACTCCATCCGATAGTGAATACGAGTACAATCATATACTTTCAAGCGCGGTAAAATTGATTTGTGGCTTTGAAAGAGATCGGGAGAGAAGACTTTGTCTTTTTGGTTCATTTCTGGGAGAGGTCGAAGATAAGAGCAGTTCCCACATGGTTATGACAGGATTTAGATGTCAACAGTGCGGTGCCACACATCTCTAACGCAGCAAAAGTATTATGGAATTTCAACCTAAACTGGTGCTCAAGGTACACGAGTAGAGCCAACAAGAATCGATAAAACCAATATATAGATCGTGATATTGGTTGATGGTAAGGAGTTATTGAATGATCGTTTCAGCCCTAAAGAAAAATGACGGAGAACAGTGGTGTATGTGAACTGTGCAACCCAACCCAGTTGCAAGCAAATCATGTTGCGGTTGGGAGCCTAGGTTATTTCTGAAAACAAGGTCATGATTCGGCCTTTTAGATTAGAACTACAACATCCTAGACTCGGTGGTTTGTGCACTACCCGGAACATAGCAAGAGCAACATTGTCTTTGTGCTTTGTCGTTTGTAGATTTTTGAACGATAATCAGATCCAGACTCTAAGTGACGGTGTGTTCTCTGGTCTACCAAACCTCCGAGAACTGTAAGTATTCTCAACTGCACCACTGAACGCAGGGAATAGTAATTATAACTGTGTGTATATAGAGTACTGCTGGAAACGTGATGAACAAACCTCTAATATCTTTGAGTAATATTATCTGCTGCACTGGATTGAAGGGAACAGTTGTAGATGCTTTGTGTAAAGCACTTGTCGCGTATCGTTTAAATAGAAAGAAAGACGTTTCATGGCTCAATTTTGTTGTGGTCCTTTGGTATATATATATATTTTTTTTCGCTCTCCTTTTCCCCCAGTTGGACTGTTTTGGTTTCACATCCAGTTTGTGCATGCACCATGGAACGGTTACGTCATTGTCATGCGTTTTGTTTTGTTTTGTTTGCGTGCATGCTCATGTGCGGGCATGATTTTTGTCTTTTTCTTCAGTTTCCAGTTTCCCTTGTTGTGTGCGGTCTTCTTTGTTTGTCCGTTGCCCACCTCCGTCTGGTCGAATAATTAAATTATGTAAAACTTAAGTTCAGTTTTGTTCCTGTGTATGGCAGGTCGGATAGGCAGGGAGGCTTGGCGCCTGACGCCTGGCAATATGTGCGGGAGCACAAAAGTGCTTTATCATTCTAGTGACCCCTCAACATCTCACAGCTCGTCTTCTTCATCCCAAATCCCATTGCTACATCACTGCTCTTGTCTATCATTATTTACGCATTACAACCGGCTTGGACAATTGACTCGCCATGATGCTCCTCTCAGTCACAACCTCTATAATTCTACATAGATTCATAGTTCCTTCTGCACATTAGTAGGGGTAATCGGATTCTGCTCGGAAATGACCAGATTGTGCTCTAGCGGATGGTCGCAGGATGCTCGAGAAAACAGCTAATTATGCTTTCACGTGCTTCACCAAAAAGACCAAAAACAAAACAGATGACGATAATGAAAAAAGGACTCAGAAGAAAAAAAAGGATTCAGACCAAAAATATCTTAAATAAAACAAATTATTCCAAATCGACAAGAAGCGCTATGTACATGTATGGTCCTTCAATAGCAGGTGTGTATCTAACAGCCTCATTGGGAATCTGCCCCCTTTTCGGATAACCCACATTATGGTATCATATACGTGTGAAGAAAGAGGCGAACTATTCTACTTCATGAAGCTACTGGTGTCAAATGATTTTGACATGTCGAGGCCAAGGACTTGGCGATCCCACACGAAGTGGGTGGTTTTAGCTGAAATCCAGCGCTGTGTCCACACCACATTGGCAGTGTCACGGCCAGGCCTGAAACCAGACAAAGTCAGTGTTACCAAGTGCCCTCTACCCCCATGCGTATTGCCCAGTGCCATTTTGCAGAATTTTTCAGAGTTTTCCGTACTCGTTTTTCATTCCCCAAGAAGCTAAGGACCTTTCTTCCCTCCGCCTTTTTAAGAGCCTTGTCGCACCTTGACTTTGATTTTGTGTTTCTCATTTTGTTGCAATCACTGCTTATCCATGCCAGTTCCTTTTTTCTTCTCCTCCCCTTCTCCCTTCCTTGCCGTGGTTGGCTAACACCCTCTCTCTTTGTATTGCCGGGTGTTCTCACTGTGCTATGAGATGCTGTAATAAATAAATAAATAAATAAAATAAATGTCAACATTTTGACTGATTTAGTTCACCTGTGAAGCCTATGTTCGAATTCAGTACAATTGTCAACTTCACCAGGTCATAACTTTGGTCTACTTCGCTTGATTTTCACAATCTAGGGCTCCTTGGAAAGCTCTAAGCAGGGTCAACGCCGGGACACCAAGCTCCATTATGAAGCCTCAACAAATCAGGCGCGGTAACACAGCAAAGTCGTCTCCAAGCCCAATATGCAAGAAAATCGTCCCAACAACTCCATTCCACTCTCTTTCTTCACGGAACGCTCAACTTTTTCGAGCCGATTGAAAAATATCTTCAGCCAGCTTCATCATTATAAAGTGCTCAGTTGCTCAAAGAGCACGCAAAATAGGGATTTCTCCCCAAAATGGCGAAGAGTTCAACCAAATTTTTGATTTTGCCAAGGTAAGAATGCCTGAATACGGCGCACAATATCTCATTAGTCTGACATCGCTTCAGCCATTGTTGTATTGGACAGTTTGGAGTTTTTGCTACCACGTAGAATCTTCGATTGTTGAATTTGCGCAAGAAACGATGGAGTTACGATGGTTTTAGTAATCGCTCATATACATGATCGTTTGCGGGATATTCGATTGAAATCCGTACTAAGGACAAAACTTCGTTTTCCGCAAAAATACGGACAAATACGGGCGGTTAGCAACACTGCGAAGTGAATCGAACATAATGCGACATACGTGGTGCAATCACTGAACACTTCTGTACCAGGATACAGTCGTGCCTTCAACTTGTTAATGATAGGCTTACAATGTGGTGGAACCACCACATAGTCAATCCTGTTGTAGATATTCCTAGTACGAATCGTACTGCTGTCTTTAACCTTTCCAGTCCATGTTGTTCGGTAGCACATTGAATAGCGGAATACTATGTTGGCTAGCAACAACTGATGCGAGTTTTTGCCCAGTCCACAAGCGCCCGGTCGTTCTCATTGCGAATCCGCTTGCTGTAATTTCCGAAAGACGAGGTGACAGCGCTGCCTACTTTGCTGTTGAAGTTCCCCACTCCGTTGACAAGCGTTCGTTTGTCCCATTCCATACAGAAGGTAGTGCGTCGTAGAACTGGTCTATAAGCTCAAGCTCTTCCTTTGGCTTTGGGTTCGTGGGTCCATGCGCCCTGACAAACTGAACTGGCAGTGATGAGTTCTTGGATAGTGGGAACGATAGGTCAACACAGCCCACCAGATCATAAAGTTTTTATTTAATTTTAGAAGTGCACAGTTCAAATATTTTTGAAACAGCGAAGCCAATTCGCCATGGCTGTCGTCTGTCAGGCCAAAGCTCGCTAGCCCGTGAGTTTTACTAATACTTCTGACGAACGGATCCTTTGTTCTGAGCTCCTGAAGTCCACAGAAGTCGAACCGATACGTTTGCAAATCACGAGGGAGTTGCCGATGTTTTGAGTTCAAAAAATGTGCATGAACATTGAACGTCGCTATACGAGCGTTTTCAAAGCCATACGGGAAGGCCCGGCACGCGGAAACAAAGCACAGGTAGGCTGGCAGGCTGTGACAAAAAGGTTGGGAGATAATAAAGATTGAGAATTTACGCTATACGTGTGGAAAAAATAAAATTCGGTTGAACAAGTCAACAACAGGGTGAAGGTGAAGAAATAACTAAAACGTAATGAATACATCAATGAGAAGAAGCATTCCTGACACTTTCACGAGGATTAACGCCAAACAACTGAAGCGACAAAACATCTTCCTTCTGGACACACAGTTCAGGGGACAACTTGCGAATATTATACCGCTTCCAAAACAGACAAATGTTATATAGATCTCCCACGGGCCAAATCCGAGAAAACATCATCTCTGTACAACTCACGACAACTATCACTAACCGACAGATGACTCTTGATCGCCGATTGCTGACTGTTGGAATTTCTCGTTTTGTCACCTCGGATGTCGCAGCTCTTGACACGTCCTTTCCACTGGGCAGTCGCCTTGTTGTCACTTCCGATGCCTCAGGTCCTGACTCGTCCCTTCCATCACATCGCCCGCCCACTCGTCCAGTGTGTGACTCTTCCGTTGTCTTCAACACTGGCTTTCGTGGTTGTCTTCCACGCTTCCTCCCACCTGCGACCGTTGTCACTTCCAGTATCGTCGCCTGTTCGTCTCCTCCAGTACGGATGCTCACCTGGCTGCGAGTGATTCGTCGACTGGGTGTCCCTGGCATTGTCTTCTTCCCTGTATCTACCCATGATGAGAAGGGAACGAAAACTTTCGGTTACGAAATTGGCTTACCTTACTTTGTGGATTGCGTCGATGCTGTCACCTTTACTTCGAAATTGGATACGCCTCCAATTTTTTTCCTCAGATAAAAAAAATCGAGTAATAGAGTGGGAGAGAGAAAGTTTGCTGAGCAGTCAGCCCAACACCAGGGAATTATTGTCAGTGTTTGTGCGAGTATGGCATGATGTGTGACTAGTATAGTGTAGTGGATGCAAGAGTACGCGGTGTCAGAGTGTAAGTATCTGGTGCCGTCTGTGTGAGAGTGACTGTCAAGTGAATGCTGTACATGCGCAGTGCTAGTTTGGTCTGGGGATGAGAGTGTGATTAGTTCGTGGTCTGGTAGTCTTGGTCTTGGTCATGTGTTTTGTACCTATTGGTTCCTGATTGGTCGTCAAGATTTGCATGCAGGCGAATTCTCCCAGTTTTCCTGGCAAAAACCAAAACCGCAAACCATCATGGTGCAAACGCTGGAAAAAAGGCACAGTGATGCACATAGCGATGGCAGTCGAAACAAGAGCAGCTAAACCGGCCAGGGGGTGTCGGTTTCAGAACTGCTCATGCGCGCAAAAACAGAAAAATATGAAAAAATAGAAATGCAAGAGGTACACAAAAGGAAGTATATAGGGCTGTTTTTTGTTGTAACTCAGAGTTTCATGGCAAAAACCAATCATCAGACAACATAAGGAGATTAGAAAAACGCAGGTATATGAAGGCAAGCAGAGGAGATAGAATAATTCAGTGCAGACAATATGATAATCATTCAACACCTCCCAAAGGCAGTACGCTCTGACGTGCCAGAATCAACATCTCAGGTGCTGGGTGAAACATGAACACGCACACTCATCCACACACACACACACACACTAATCCACACACAGCCTCTCGTTCTCACACACTCCACACTCCCGCATTATCACACCTAAACACACGCGCACGCACACACACACACACACACGCACCAAACACACACATGCACCACACACACACACATACACACAGCCTCTCGTTCTCACACACACCCAACAAACACGCACCACACACGCATGCACCACATACACATACCTACACACAGCCTCTCATTCTCACACTCTCCACACTACCGCATTATCGCACCTAAAAACACACACACACACACGCGCGCGCGCGCG